GCATAAACAAAATGCACATTCTTTGCTCTGACTTATACTCCTGGAAAAACTAAGTTCCTTGTTAATCTTGCTGTCTTGGTGGATGTTTTGCAGGCAGGATGGTGTCTGGCTGGAGCAGCAGCTGTCAGGCTTGCCTGGAGAAGCATCTTTTCTTCAACATGTCCATCCTGCAGCCTGTGGAGATGCTATCTCTGGCTCAGCTGGAAATCAAGCTCCACTGGAAGCCCCTCAGAACCGTGCAGCTGCTGCAAGGGTCCCAGGCCATTAGTGCCTCTCTTTATAAAGTGATCCGATCGACTTTGAAGGGAACTAATCCCAAGGCGAACCGCAGACTCCTGCTGTCCCAGTCGGTCCAGCTGCAGCCCGAGTCCACCTCCATCACCATGGATCTGACAGCGGTGGCAGAGAGCTGGCGCAAACCGGGGTCTAACTACGGCTTAATTTTCGAGTTGCTCCCTCTCGGACCAGACCCGGAACAGTTCTTTCCGTTTTACCCCGGTAACTCCCTCCCGCTGGAACAAGCCTTCACCTTCCCGTTGGTTCAGGCCTCACTAGTGGCTGTGTCCCTCAACCCAAATCGGTGTCGGTCCAGACGGAGGAGAAGCGCCATCCACATCCCCGTGACACCCAGCAATGTGTGTAAAGCTCGCCGCCTCTACATCAGTTTTAAAGATGTCGGCTGGCAGGACTGGGTCATCGCCCCGCAGGGCTTCATGGCCAACTACTGCCACGGGGAGTGTCCGTTCCCGCTCAGCGAGAGCCTGAACGGCACCAACCATGCCATCCTGCAGACCCTGGTGCATTCCTTGGATCCGGAGAACACGCCACAGCCCTGCTGCGTCCCCATCCGTCTCTCCTCGATCTCCATGCTCTACTACGACAAAAACGACAATGTGGTGCTTCAGCATTACCAGGACATGGTGGTGGATGAATGCGGGTGTCGCTGAAGATGCTGGACGCTTCTGATTGGCCTCTGGTCACCAGATGTTATCCTCTGATTCATTTAGCTGCTTTGTCCAGTGATGCGAGTCTAGAATTGTTGTTACTGCAATTTGTTTTTCAATATGTAATGGAATATGTTTGCAGACAGTAATTTTTAAAGAATTTAACCTATTTGCTCTTATTGAAAGCTTTTGTTTGTCTTTTGTTTGAAGTCTAATGAAATAAAATTAGGAAATTAGTGTTTTTCAGTCTTAACAATGGCTTAAGTGGTCTGTTACACATCGCTTGCAATACTGGGCGGCATCGATCCAGCAGCATTTTCTGAGTCCAAGACCTAAAAGTGAGTTAAGTTTGCTGATTTTGAAGTTACAATCTCAGGTTTTGTTTAACTAAAAGCAGATTTTAAGAACTATTTTGCTTTTAATTAGGTGTATTTGATTTAAAATGACAGAAATCAAGATCTTAGTGCTAAATCTTTGACACAAATATAAATGATGAACAACAACTACACAGATGTTCAAAGAGCAGCTCAG